GTGTGTTTGTGTGGTTGTGGGTGTGTGTCTGTGTGTGTGAGCAAGAGAGAGATCAACCAGTAATCAGCAACATTTTGGGTATTCCATATTTTGGGTCCCGCGACCTTTGTGAGGATAAAGCGGATCAGGAAATGGAAGGATGGATGGAAATATTTTGGGTGTTGAAGTGATTTAAAAAAAAAAAGACAATTCAATTCTGGGTGTTAAAAAAAACACAGGAGAGAGACCTAACAATGATATTGCCTTTAGGTTGTTAAAGACAAGCCATCAGAGGATCCCAAAACATGGCTGCCGTGAGCACTGAAGGACAAAACCCAACAGGTACATTCATTTTTAAAAGTATATGTAGCCGGGTCTTTGGAAAGACTAGACTGAACCCAAAACAATTTTTAAGTGAGCTTTATTCCCGACTGAACAATAATTATACGTACAGCATGAAGATGAAAGACTGAGAGGTTAAGTGAATTTTAAGAGTTCAAAAAAAAAAGGGATCAGAGATCAAATAAAATTATCTAACAGATTAAAGAAAATTACACAATAATAAACAACAGTAGTGGCTAGCTTGATAGGAAAACAGAAATAAAAATACACTTTCCAATTTCCAAGCCACAATACTCCATTAAACTCGAACAATCATTACAACCCAGTGTTTTGAGAGGTGTACACACTTACTCAATACGTTCTGGTGTGTTGGGTGGACACGAAACAGTGGAAAAACATAAATGATCTCCCCTCTCAAGACACATAAAGCAGTTCATATAATTTCACAGTTAAAAAAAAGAACATATTCACACCTTGTCACACTGCGAACACGTACACTGTACAGCCGTTTACAGGACCCACCAGAGGAAGCATTCAATTTCCCAAACCACGATCTCTGACTTTACAAATATTCCAACAATCAATCACTCGTCCAAATACAACCCCGAACATGCGCTTCATGGTAAAGTAGTTACCAATACAAATTACCTGAATATCGCCTGGGTCACAATGACGATTATTGGTTTTTCAAGTTGGAACGAGGGGCATACACAGTTCAGTGACTATCTTCCTTCACATGCATGTCATCTTCCCCCACTTCTTGGTCTGATTCTCGCTGGCGCCATATGTTCCCGCGCGTTTTGATCTAGCATTATTTTTAAAGAGACAGTGCTATCAAGACAGCCCCCGCTACAATATTAAAGTATGGTTCACCTGGTTACATATAGACAAGAAAATATTTTACATGTCTTAATTATGAGAAGAGGGCAATGGAGCTTTGGGTGAACTCAATTTGGGTGCAACTGAAAAAAAAATCATGAGCAACATGTCGATGGAGGTTGGAAAGAGGGATGGAACAAAGTCTCCTGACTCGAAAGCTAAACTCAACAAAGAATGAGGTCTCAACATTGAAGAACATACCTGAACTTTTCTTTACAAATAATGCCTAAATGCGGAACTCACACACAAAAAAGGTACCGTTCCCTGTCGAGTAATGCTTGTTTTAAAATGAAATGGAAAAAAAAAAGAAAAAGAAAAAAATCCTCGCTTCCTGGAACACTCCGTCAACCATTCCTTCATTAGGCTTTCTACCATCCACGCTTTCATGTCAACTTTAACGACAATGTCTTTCAGGAGGTTTTCTTTCGGCATATGTAACCAGGTGAACAATACTATGACGGTTGTAGTGAATGGTGCCTCGTTTCATAAATGGAGCACTGCTCCTTAAAAGGAGCGTTGGATAATCTTGTGGGAAATCTCGTGAGGCTTGGACCAGGAAGTGAAGTAAGACAAACGCTGAGCTGTCCATATCAGACCTGATGTATCTGCAATCGGCTGGTATTAAGAGTAAAATATCGTTGTTTGGGAGTTTGAACGGTGTCGAATGGTGGGTTGTGTTAACAGCCGTGAAGCAGCAGAGATTAGTTGTTTTCCGCGTGTTTCGGGCACATACAACATGCCTGAAAATGCTCACAAGCTACTACTGTTGACTAGTTTTGTATACTTTTCTATTTGTCCATCCTGTGATGTTATGAGTAAAATAACATAAGAACTTCATTACCCAGCATGCCACAGTAGTTAATGGTGGAGAGTGCAAGCTTGAAGTAAAGAATCCTCGAGTTCTACCCAACACGCCTCGTCTCCTTTATTATATATTACGAGAGACAACGCATGGTGTCAGAAGTGGCCGTGAGCAGCCTCGGAGTGGAAAGGTGTGCCACGAAAGAGCTACAAAAGCACGAGCGAGAGAGGATTTGGAGTCCTCGGCCGTGTGAGTGACCACGTGATTGGTGAAGCTACATGCTAGCGGAGTTAGCTACCGCGTGCGTTGGCTCTGAACTGCGAAGTGAAAGAAGGACGCGGGACAGATTAAACCAGCAAAAGAGAATTTTGTGCCCGACGTGGAGGATAACCAACTACAGAAAGCTGACTTTTACCCCGTTTTGCTGTCATGGATAAGTTGAGTCCACCTACTTCCATGCAACTGACTGGTAGTCTTGCTGATAACTGGAAGCGTTTCAAGCAAAGATTTACTATATATTTAGCAGCAAGTGGAGCAGGAGGTGATGATGAAAAACTGAAGG